TAGTATTATACACTCACAATAAAATAACTAAAATAGGTATGCTAGGTTTTTTAATATGTAATTTCGTCCCAAATTTGAACTTAAAATGTCTGTAAAAAATAACTGTGCTCATATATTTTTTAGTTTTTTTTGGCTACAGTATGAACTATTTATGAGAATCTTTTTTTTAAATTTTCAATCCTTAGCTATAAAAACTGAACATTTTATAATTTATTAATTACAATGATTGATAAGTTTCGAGATTTTGATAAATTTTGTCAAAATGCAATCTTTAAATGCTTATAAAAAAAAATTGTGCTTATGTATTTTTAATATTTTTCAATTGCTATTGTAACAATATATCAGGAGCCTTGTATTAATTTTTTACACTTTTTGGCCCAACAGATAAAACTTTATTGATATTTATAGAAAAAAAAAACTAAAAAATTGAAAACTGAAAATGTCCGTAAACGGCTCAAAAAGAGTCAAAATATTTTCAAAATTGTATGGTGTATAGGAAATGCTAATATAAACATTCAGTACAATTTTCATGTATCTACAGTAATTTGTTTTTGAATTACAACAAAATAAGGAAATCGCCACATGAGAAATTGAGTGAATATCCAATGTTGTAAAAATTTGAATTTCAAACGCTCATAAAAATTTAATTTGACTTTCTTATAGAATTTTTTTTTTTGATAAATGTAGGAAATCTTATAAGGAATCTTGTACTACATTTTCATATCTTAGATTTAAAAAGAAAAACTTTTATGAATTTCTAACTCGAAATAATTTGCAAATTTTCGTGATTTTTCCATATTTTGTAATTTTTTGAACTTTAAATGCTTAAAAAAAAACTGTGACTAACGATTTTTAATATATTTCATCTGTCTTTGAAACAATATAGTAGGAGCCTTGTATTAAATTTTCAAGTATTTTTACTCAACAAATAAATTTTTATTGATATTCATAAAAAAAAACTAATAAAATTGGAAACTGAAAATGTCCCTAAACAGTTCAAAATAAATCAAAATATTTTGAAAATGTTTTCTTGTATAGAAAATACAAATATAAACAACCACTGAAAATTTCATGTATCTACGGTCATTTGTTTTAAAGTTACACAAAAACCAAAATCGATTTTCTCGAAAACAGATTTTGCGTAAAAATTCCCGTTTTTCCTTAATTTTTCTTTTGTTTTTCCCGGCGCTTTTGAAAACTACTGGGAAATTTAAATTTTGACCTCCCCAATGCACCAACGATATTGACTTTCCAATCGAACAAGATACTGAAGTTGAAAATCGATGCATTATTTCGACTACTTATTGTGTACACAGACACAAAAAAAATAAAAAAACACACATCATTGTAAAATCAATACATTCATCGTTTCCCTCAGAATCTAAAATAATCACATAATATTAAAATTATAATAAATAGAAGACTAAATAGTTAATTTCTAGTAGGTAGCTACAGAACACGTTACCACTAACCTCGGACGAATAGTCGAATAGACGAGTAGTCAGTAGACGACAACTGATAACTATCGAATGCAAATGTGCAACAAATTTCAAGAATAATAAAATAATATTTTATAATACCAAGAATAAGTCAATACATACGACTACGGGTAACAGTTTACATACTTACGTGTTGTACAACAGTCGCGCAATGCACTAGTAGATAGTAGATAAACACATCTATTTTTAGCATTCGGTGTAATCGAAGTGTCGACGTCGTCGTCGTCTTATCTTTTATAGAAAAATAATATTATATACAAATATATTTTGAAAATAATAAAAATACTATTAAAATACTGACGATGCCAAATTGCCGACAACTTTTACCAAGACGTGTCCAATTTGCCGACTAAATATTTAAAAAATCATGAGTGGGGGGGTTAGACACCCCCCACGCCCCCCTCAAAGGACGGCCTTGAATATATGCAACACCTGCAAGGATGTAATAAATGCAACGTTTCGTCTTCCTGCCATCGCCACAAAGCCGTACAATATTTATTTTGTTCGTGGCACGTACCACCTCTAATATACATTGTATTGTGTTTGTACCTACTATATATTATATGTCTATATATTTACACGAACTCTAAACCCATCACCCGTATAATACACTTACATCTGTATTATGTTTTATATGTGCCAATGTGTGCGTGTGTGTACGAGCGTGCTTTATTTTTTATAAAAAGTTTTTTTTCCATCTGTTTTTTCATCTACCCACACCCTATTATTGCACGACCAGGATAATATTATATACAGAGTGTTTTAGTTTTCCGTACAAACTTTTGGAATAATCACGTGTTAGGTCGAGTACTATAGGGAGTGCCATTGAAAACATATTATTTTGTGTCTTGAGAATGCGAGGTTTTTAAAGGAACTTAAGATAGTTATTTCGTTTACGTAATATTAAGCATTTTATATTTTCTTTCTTTGCGACAATACCTAGGTAATAATGAATACTGTATACGAAGCAGGCAGATATAAAATGTGCCCTATTGCTAACCGTCCTTAAACATAATAGGTAGGTACTGCTATATTATAATATTATACTAAATAAATGTGCACAAGAAATTGTTGACCTCAAAACGACTATATTTATATGTGACGATTATTGACACTTTCTGACGACGAACGGACAAAAAGTCTCATATGCCCATTTTTCAATAAAATATAAATTTAAGCACTGGTCAGTGGTCAATATAGTAGGTAATTAAAACTACTCTTAAAATCCAGTGGGTACTCGCCAAATTTAAAATAGTATTCTATTTTCAGTCACTATAACATAATTAGATATTATATCATTCTCAAACAGTAAATCTCTTCTGTAAACAGAGAATCTGGAATCATTCTGTATATATTTATAGGGTCCGCCCTGACTGGACGTTTTATATTATTATTTTGTAGGAACGCGCGCTCCCGGGAAAAACGTTAAAGTCCGGGCAACTGTAAACAGGGTTGAGGGAGAGCTCTGAATCATCGGGGTGAATAGTCGGTGGGTGGTGGGTGGTCATGCAATGGTTAGTACTAGCTAGTCATGGAAGGGTGAAGTAGGGGGAAGGAAGGAAAAACTAAAATATAAAGGGAGATGCTTATAAATTCGGCCATGTTCTGCAGCCGTTTAAAAGGTCGCCCAGGGATGCCTAGGGACACGAGGGGTCGCGGGGTTTGCGGGGATCTTAAAACATAAGAATATATCTTTGTAGTATCTCCGACGACGAGGTTTTAATGGGATCGCTCTACCGACTCCGTCCTTTTGAACATGCGTATACACACCGCACCAGAGCAAGCGCGTGAAGCACACAATTAATGCGTTTTATATTATAGAGCACCTCAGTTCACAGGGTTTTTATATACACATTACACGTATTGTATATAAATTAGATACATATATGTATATTATAAATCAATGTATAAAATTTAAGTATACTGTTCTGTCATCAGATATTCAGAATACAATATAAGTGTAAAAAGCGGGTATGTGAATGTTGCTCTGCTGTACAGTAGGTTACAAGTGCATCATTGTATAATGTATTGTATTAAACTTGAATTCAATGGTATAATATCATTGTATAAGGAAAACGATTCTGAGCGGAGACGGTTTGTCAGTCTGGATATTTTATATTGTTATTATTTATTATATCATGTACCTAAGTCGAATTAATATTATAATATTATAATTTTTTATTTGATAAAATCGAAAAATTACCTCTCTAAAGTACCATATTGATCCAATTTGTTAAAGATAAGGTACTATATTATGTAGAAATCGAAGCATCCCTTCTGGTAGACATGTTGTATACAGGCTACAAAAAAAAAAAAAAACACCATTGTAAAGCTAATTGCTTCCTCGCTCCGCTCAGAAATGTTAACCTCCATGGTACAAGCCTCGAGTCCCCAAGAATTCCTTTTTTCATAGTCAGAATGGTACTCACGATAAAACGTGAATTAATAACATGCACAAAGCACAATGAATTATAATATTCGTGATATATATATTTTATCAAGCTTAAAATTGCAATTACCTTACATTTTTAATTTTACTTTATGTTCTTTTTAATATTTTTCTTGAATTATATGAATCTATAAAAATTAACTTGATTGATAAATAAAATATTTGAATAAGCTTAAAAAATAATTATTATTTATTATTTTAAATTAGCACAAATTACAAGTTTTGTAGTTGCAAGATTGCGTTTCAAAACTTACTTTCAACTACTTTTATGTGTTGAAAATTACAACTTTAAAAACAGGCGTGAATTTTTGTTTTTGGTGAAAATTACACTTTTAATTATTCTTTAATATTGTTAAAGTGAATTAAATCTGTTTTCTAAATTCTATTGTATAATATCAATATATTATGATTATAATATGCTCGTTTAGCCGTGTAGGTTTAATAGTTACTATGATTCATACTTCATATGTCCATGCATTCTACCATCAATGCATTATTCGGTCAAATGATGAAAAAGAGACAGAATGCCCAAATACGAAGTAATCCAAGAGGGGAATTCCCGATTTCCCTGTAGACCTATCCAACCATGAGTTCCACATTTACATTTAGAATAGGAATAACCCTCTATAATATATAGTTGCAAAAAAAAAAAGCTAAATGAAAGCAGCAAGTTCCGTGAGGTTTGATGTTTATTTTGTGACATTTAAATTTTCTCGAATGCCAGAGTTTACATAACAAGATGAAAAACAATTTATTTACTATTCAACCAGCTATAGATATCTGACTTTATATAAAATGTATTCATAATTAAAAATGATGCTAAGCTTTCAAATATAACTAAAATGGAAACTTAACACAACAAATTACAGTAAAATAAAAACTCCATGTTTAAAATAGAATTGAATTCCCAAAGGTATGATAAATCACTAAGGTAACGGTTGTTGATTTACGTTATTCATAAACAGTAATCAAATTCAATTTTATTCTGAGATTTATACAAAATTATAATATAATAAGCTTAATATACACACACACACAATTAACTTTTAAAAATGTCAAAAAATAAAAGAAGTAATTCGATCAAAAAAGACAGTTTAACATCAAAAGGAAGCGACAAAAGTAATTTAGCTGATAAGTTTGAATTTTATGCCCGAATAGTCAAGTTAGTAATACTCAGAAAAGATGACACGGATGGTAAGTGAAATAAAAAATAAATAATTATTTTCAATTAAAATACGTTTAACAAAGGTATGCTATGATAGTTTTAAAATTCAGTTAATTTAGTCTAACGCGATTAATTAATTGAAATACGGGTGATAGTATCTGCGGAATAATAATAATTATTATTTGATATATTTAGACATAATATCATTATTATAATATTTGATCGTGATTTTTTGTTTATAATACCTGCCGGGTGGAACTTGTTTCCATCGACAGTCGTATCAAAGTACTCGACTTGGCTGAAAAAGTTGAGAAAACATCCGAACGAGACGCTCAAGTACGACTACGTCAAGTTACTCGTCATGGGACTCAACCATCCGGTACCGGTGTGCCCCTTCAACGAGTACCCACCAGACGTCATCGAACCTCTAGAAGGCGAATGGATCGTAAACGCTAGGAAAATTTTCTACAACGGCGACCCGTCTTGCCGACCGATCATCCTGAATCCTCCAATCATGACGGCCGTGTCCGACGATAAACGTCAGTTCGCCGCCTATCAGGAAATACCGAATGCGGGGCTTCAGTGTTATTACGCTCAGTCCGACGAACCGCTGTACGAGTGGTTTTTCAAACACGACTCATTATCAATTCCCCCAGAAAATCCTGTCCAAGCCATCCCGTTAGACTGGGAAAGGTCTCTGGCCGGAATTCACGTGGCACCTCCTAAGATCCCTTCCAAGTACGATGACCGTTTACATTAATAATATTTTTATATCGATTTATCGTACCTCTATACGATATTAATAATATTGTGGTTTGTGACCTTTGAATTCGCAGAAGGAAGACAAGTTCGTCGCCGATTCAAAGACCGTCATCGTTGAGCGTTATAGGGAGGTAAATAAACGATTAGGTACACAAATAATAAAATATTTCGTTCAATATTAATATTTTTTAAATGTATTAACCCACAGCAACATCGAAGAGAAAAGGGACTTTTGCAAAATACTTACCACGTATCAAGAAATGTATAACATAACGACGCACTTTAAATGGAACGAATTAAGTTTATTAACGGGCGACACAATACCTGGTTCCGATTTGTGTATCGATTGGTAATTCTAATTTATTGTCAACGCTCGTTGTTCGTGGCGTGTAGTCCTGAAAAATATTTCTCACAATTTTTTAAGTTATATAACTGCAATGAAAATCGAATAAGATTGGTGCATTGATTTAACGTAACTTTACTATATTGATTAATAAGTCGAGAAATAATAATGAGATTACATACATAGATTTTTACATCATCTGCATTCAAGGTGGATCTTGAAATTAAAATTCCTAAACTAGTTGGGCTTCGAATTATTTTAGGTACCTACTTCACAAGTTGGGTCCTACTTTTCAGTAAGTACTACACAAAAATGTTAAAAATCGATTTAAAAAATCACTTTTGTGTTGCTAAAAACGTATAAGATCTAAATTTTTCAAAAACAAAATATAAACTAATTATTTTTTTTTGCAGAGATTTATATGTGATACAAAGTGTTATGTTAAGATTATACACCCATAATCAAGGGAATACTCAATGAAATTAATTTTGAATTACACAAAAGTTATATTTTTAATCGTATTTTATATTTTGATTCTTTTGTATTACTTACCTAAAATAAGCTGAGACCCAACTAGTGTAATATATAATATAATCAGGGATCCAATAGTGTAGTACTTACCTAAATTAATTCGGGATCCAAATAGCATACTATTTGTAATTAACCCCGATTAGGGACCCAACTCGGATGCGCCGCGTCATACATAATATGATGAATATGATTCATTTGGTTTCTGCAGGTTTATTCACGAACACGAAAGAACACAATTGGACATAGACGAGGAAATGATTAGGTCATTTGATAAACTGTACCCACACAATTTCCGTCTTTTAGCAAGACCTGAATTATTAGAAGGACTCGTTAGAAAAATGGACTGTGCCGAAGAAAATGGTATGGACTCTAAACATTAAATTTTATATTAAGTTGAAATTAAGTGTTACGGTTACGGTTTTCTCTTTCTAGCTAAATGCATGGACGCGGAATGTGCAAAAGTTGAAGAAGAGGATTGCAAATACCGAGTAAGAAAGTTGCATAATATTATAATTATAGACAGAGGCAAACTAATTAATAAAAAATACCTTTGATATTAATATCTTATACTTCCCTGAAATAAGATCTAGATTTTGGAGTTGAAAATAATGTAATTTAAAAAAAACCATTTAATAGTTGTTCAGATGGCGTTAATGTTGTTAAACAATTCTATCGTCTAAAAAAAAATATCATCTAATATTATAAAATAATAATATTGATTGTTATTTATTTATATTTCTCTAATTTACATTACTGCCATTCTTTGAAACATCAATTCAAATTAATAAGAAAATCAGAAATAATAATCATTAATTGTCTTCATGTACATTATTTGTTTTTTCTTTTCAACAGTAGGGAAAGAAGCGGTCTTGAGAGTTAGGAGGCTCTCAGAAAGACCTCTCTCAGCCCAACATCCGATTGACTTTTGATGGCTTGGACAACATTATCTGATAGAATTAATAGCCGTGTTTGAAAAACCACTAGGAATGATCGGAATAACAATGAATCTCCCTACATTCAGTGCATTTCTGATAGGTTACAAATTGACTCACCTGACCCGGCGACGAGTTTGAGAAAATATTCCTGGCCTTTGCCATCCAATCGCCTTCCAGAGATTCGTCGAAGGGGCACACCTGTACCTACTGGATGGTTGAGTCCCAGACGAGTTCTTGACGTGATCGTACTTGACCACATCGTTCGAATGTTTCTTTAACCCATCCAGCCACCTTGAGTACTTATAGTTGATGAAAAATCAACATATATAGATAAATAGTTAACTAAGTTACCGCTACTATCAGTGTCATTAAAAATGTTTAGCTGAATAAATTTGTTTTTTACTTTTTTTGATGTTGTTTTTTTTTAAAGTTGGGTAGTATTATTATTATTATTATTATTATTACTAAGGATAGAATTTATACGCATTTGCATGTTTTTTTCTTGAGTCCAAATGATTGGGTGTCAGATATATATTTAAATTATTCTCGATTAAATATAACACAATTTTTTTTGCATCTTTTTTTTTTAATTTTGGAAATAATGCATATATATATACAATTATATAATTCGATTTTTGAAAATCTTATGAATTTTAAATAGAATATATTTAATGAACATCTATAGTTATTATTTTATTAGTCAAATTGTGATAAATTTACTATATGATCTTATCTTGGTCAGACGACCTATAGGATTACCTTTACTTACATCGTTTTTGTATTTCATTAGTACGACAAGTTTTAGTCAATGTAAATTAATTCGTTGTTCCAATCGAAAGTCTTCCGTGTTTGAAAATGTGAAAGAAAATAGTATTAACAATATAGCAATACTCAATGTAACTATAACTAATTATACTAAATTATAATTCTATGTAAATAATAAATAATAATTAGTTAGTAGTTTCTATTTCAGTTAGTTTCTGATTAATGATAATTATGTAAAAATATTATGTTGTGTAGAAAAAAAAATTATTTTTGCATGTTATTATTGTACCTGAACTTTTTTTGCACCTATCCTATCCCTAATTATTACTATGAATAGCAAATACTTATGATTGACACTATAACCATCGGTGGCCCACTGATTACAGGGGGGGGGGAAATGCCCACTCTGCCACCATCAAATTACACCACTGTACGTGCCTATATAATATACCTACTTATATGAAGCTACTAAAAAAAAAAACACAGACCATAAAATATAAACTATTATATTTTATTTGTCCATTTCACATCAAAACCATAAGCTGATAACATCAGACTTATCGGGAATACAAATACAATGCAATTTCCTTTTGAATGATTTCTAGATTATGATAACTTATTTTGTAAGTACCAAACAACGAAGTCCACAGATTAGAAGTTGCATTTTGGCAACTCTACTTCTATTTATTATATTAGAAAACTTTATGGCAATGTATATTATACAATTGTGGCCCAAAAAAAAACTTTGAAAATTTCTAAATAAATATTATAACTTTTATTAAAGTAAACTAAGTTGTGTAAACTTTCATATATTCTATTGTAACTTATAAAATATAAGGGCAAGAGTGTACCACAAGGTTTAGCTGGCTATTGAAAATATAATTGTTCTCCACAGTTAATATTCGTATATTATTTTTTTTTGTTTTTACCGATCTCTCAGTAATTGTTAAAATTATTCAAAAACGGTCTTAAATTAAAATAAAATAAAAAAACTGAGAAGTTATCCCGTATTTTAGAACTTTAATAATAGTTTTTGAGTGAACATCGACATTATTTAGGTCACCGTGAATGAATTTGTTAAATTCGAATTCAGTGTAAACTATCATTATTGTATACGTCTGAAAGTGTCAGTCTTTATTTCTAAGGAAATTAATTTACATATTTGGATTGCTTTAAATAATGTATTTTTAAAATAGAAATAGCAGGTACCGGATTTATCAATAAAATACTATTAATGAAAAGCTGCTGGTTGGTTAGCGCTGGACCGATTTGGCTTATTTTTATTAAATGTGAAAAGTTGCACGGATTATTGGAAAATTTAGGAAAAACCGAAGTGCCCATTTTTATAAAAGATTTTTTTGTTTATAAGCTTAAAACTCTAAATGGTCGCCATTAGTTGCAAAATACTATAGGTAGTTTATAGTTTTACTAGCTGACCCCGAGCACTTCGGTCTTCGTTGCCCGTTAAAAATGCAAGCTTTATATGATTAAAATGTTGTTCTATTCGTTAATTAACATTCGGTGTAATGGTGTTCAAAATTGAAAAAATATGTAAAAACACGGGCAACGCCAGGCGGGATAGCTATAAATTATTATAATTGCATAATAGTATTTTAAAAACTTTTAAGTCAATTCGGCGTACTGTATAAAAGCGCTAATATGTTCGTATAGTATAATTAGCTTAAAAATAGTTTGAAAATTGTACTGCTTATAGTATATAAATAGTTATAATCAGTGTCGGATTGGCAGACAAAAGGCCCATGGATCAGTTTTTTTTAAGGGGCCCCATCATGAAATACAAAATTTACTTGACATTTTGGGGAAAAAATGCCCACTACCTTTTTTCCTTTAAAAATACATTTATTCAAATTCTGATTTATATTTTTTTTAAGTAGGTATACCTAAAGACAATATATTATTCAAATTCCTGATAATTTTTGTACTAATATTGGAGTGTCCTGTGGCTATACAAACTTCTATTTTTCAAATGAAAATTTCCTTTTTTACTGAAAAATTATTTAGGAGCTAATGTTCTTGTAAATGTAGAATGTATCTGTAGATTTATGTGTATTGTAGATGTATCTAAATGTACATTAATTATTTTCTTTGTTAAAAGTAAAAAAAGATAATTCCTATTTTAAAAACAGAAGTTTGTGTTAATCAACATCATTGTTAAATTTTATAAAAAATCTCAAGTATTCAAAAATATTCAAGAGTATTTAGAAATTCTAAAAATCAGAATTTTAATATAATATGTACAATTTAAGTAAAAAAATATGCTCCGCTGTACAGTAGGTTACAAGTGGGTCACTGTATAATGGATGGTATTAAATTTGAATTCAATGATATAATATCATTGTATAAGAAAAAACGATTCTGATCGAATACGGGCAGTCAGCCTATGATATTACGAAGTATATTTGATGATACTAAGGTGAATAAAGTAATTTATATATAACCTATTTACGTGGAATCTTGTTTTAAATTTTCAATCATTAGCTATAAAAGTTGAACATTTTATACATTTTTAACTACAAAATTATTATTAAATTTTAAATGTGATACATTTTGCAAAATTTGAACTTTAAATAAACTTATAAAAAAAAATTGTGCCTATGTATTAATAATATTTTTCAACTGCTATTGTGACAATCTATTAGGAGTATTGTATTACGTTTTCATGCTTTTTTACGCAACAAATACAATTTTATTGATATTTATAGAAAAAAAAACTAAAATAAAATGGAAACTGAAAATGACAGTTAACACCTCAAAATAAGTCAAAATATTTGGAAAATATTATGGTGTAGGTATATAAAATGCGAATATAAACATTCAGTCAAAATTTCATGTACCTACGGTCATTTGTTTAAGAGTTGCACCAAAAACCAAAATCGATTTTTTTCGAAAACAGATTATGCTTACAAATTCCCGTTTTTCTTTAGTTTATCTTTTGTTTTTCACTGCGCTTTTGAAAACTACTGGAAAATTTTTACTTTTGACCTCCCAAAGTACCAACTATAGATTCTCTTTCCTATCAGAAAAGATACTGTTGAAGAAAAACCAAGCTCTTTTAGAAGGTGATGACAGACCAAAAAAAAAAAAACACACATCATTGTAAAATCAATACACATTCATCGTTCCATTCAGAATGTAAAATAGAGCGAGCATAGGTACTTAAAAAATCACTACCTACGTATAATATGAACGTAAAGCCTAACGAGGGGAATCATTTGTTAAGTAATAAAATATGAAATTATTGAAATATTTTAAGCTGCAAAATAATAAATAATAATTGTTAATGACATATAGAAACGAAATTACGAAAACGAAATTATATTTATATTGCCTATAGAACTTTAACTTCTTGTGGCAAATCCATAAGTACCTATGCATAATATTATTCACTTAAACTTTCAAAAGTAAATTTAAAATCTTTATCATTGTTTAATATTTAATTATATATACATATAGGTATAAGGAGATGTATAGTATTATAAATCATACATACTCGTATTGTTGTATGCAACATTTTCATGATCGATGAATCCAACAGTGGAGCCGCTGCAGATTGGCCTCGTGGCCTCGTAAGAGCCCATTGTTTTTAAGGAGAGATATAAAACCTAACTTAATTTGCAGTAACTATCTAGCACGATTAATCCAAAAACCTCCTCCTTTTTATTACTTGAAACTTGTACTATTATAATTTATAGTGCCCTTCTCATACTATAATGATAGGCAAGAATCTGGGCCCTGTAAAGAAAAATTGCGTACCTATGGTTAAATATATCGATAAATACTTTATGGGGTCCATACTCCCTATATACTAGGCACATGCCAAACAAATAAAAAAAAAAGCATCTAAGTGGATTTCGCTCTGCTACATGTTAAACAACTATTAATTGCTTCAAATTAGTTTATTATTTTGAAACTGTTATTAAGTGCAGTGTTAGATTGTTTCAGATTTCTGCGATTAATATTTTATTAACACAAACTACAAAGTAACAAAAATCGTTTCAAGATACATTTTTATTGGAATATATAATATGGGTAGGGGTAGGTACAATGGAATATTCATTAGCATCATTATGATTAAATTACAAAATTCAAAGCAAACGTATGCAAATACCTATAATTGTTTTATCAAAACTTTAA